ATAGTTGCAGGGACTTCTCTTCCGAGCTCTGAAAGCCTGGGCTGGGGTCTGGTGTGGGGCTGAGACCCCTTGCTCCTCTGGGTGGCCTTGGCAGAGATGATCTCCCTCCCGATTAAAAAAGCGGCCCATGTGGGTCTCTCAATTAAAAAAAATGGCACACGTGGGTGATGGCCCAGCCAGTTCTGCACCTCTGCCCCTCCTACCAGTCTCAATGTGCTTTCTTCTTTACATCTCTAGTTGTAGGACTTCCATTCAGCCAACTTTCAGTGGTTCTGAATGATGGTTGTTCTGCATTTTAGTTGTAATTTTGATGTGATTGTCGGAAGTGGCCTGTATAGGCCTTTACCTACACCACCATCTTGGTTCTCTAGGGGCTCCACTGATATTTCTGTTGTGGCTGTTGTTCACCCACCAGGTCTGGTATTCACTACTGTAGACCTTGGAGACCAAGTCCTACTGGATCTTGGAAACCCACCTAGCCTATTCTATTCATGGCACCTGGGCCAAGGAAATCAGTTCTCTATCATGTACTGTACAGGTCTATTGCAAGTATCAAGAAACACACACACAACAGCCCTGGCCCGGTGGCTCAGTTGGTTGGAGTGTCATCCCCGTACAACAAAAGGTTGCAGGTTTGATCCATGGTCAGGGTGTGTATGGGAGACAATCGATCAATGTCTCTCTCTCTCTCTCTCTCTCTCTCTCTCTCCCTTTCTCTCTCCCTCTCTCTTTCTCTCTCTCTCTCTCTCATCAATGGGAACATATCCTCAGGTATGGATAAAAAACAAAATGAAATAAAAAACCATTATAACTGCTTAAAGAAAATGTATTATGAAGGTTTATAAATGTTTTATAAAAGCTAAGGATCCCGTCACTCATAGAGTTTTCCCAGAGTCCGTTAGATTCTGAGAGTCACCAGTGACAGGTTTCTGCCACAGGCTGTGGAGAACATCTTTACCTCAAACTAGTCCTTCCAGAATAACTGTAAGTTTCTGAGATGTGGAGGTTTTACTTCTGAGCAGCTATGTGATCTTTTTCTGCCCAATTGCTAGTGTCTGCGGTCTCCTACTGGCCTCATCTGGGATCCTCCAGATTCATTAGCTTTTGGAAGTGTGAGTTGGGGAGGCTGTGAAGAAGAAAGGAGATTAAAAAACCTAGAAGAATATTTAGTTTGGCCAGTCCTAAGAAGAGAGAAAGGACAAGAGGACATCTTACTCACAAAGAAAGTCTTCACCCTCCTCAACAGTGCGTAGCTCGGATCTCCCTGGGTGTGTGGCAGGAAGGCTAGGACGTGGGTGCCTCTGTTCTTACGTGGGGTTCCCTGGTCTCTGCTGGTCCCACCCCGGCCAGGAAGACCAGGCAGTGCTGAGTTGGACATGGTGACACTCTGCCTTCTTCTGAGAGTCAGCCTTGAGGTTTGGTTTTGCAAGAGCAAGACCTATACCTAATGTGTCCCCCTTTCATATTATGGGTTCAGTAGCATCTCCCCATTTATAAAAGAGTCACAGATTTCCTGGCACAGGGTTTTTCTGAATAAAGCTCTTCCCTTCCCTAGACCTCTCCAACTTTGCAATAGTCAAACATCTTAGGCTTTTCAATTTTCAATTTTTGTTGGATGTAAAATACAGAATAGGCAGTATAGTCAACTAGAGGCCCGGTGCACAGAATTTGTGCACTGGGGGCGGGGGTGGGAGGTCCCTCAGCCCGGCTTGTGCCCTCTCGCAGTCTGGGAGTCCTCGGGGGCTGTCTGACTGATGGCTTAGGTGCGCTCCCCATGGGAGCGGGCCTAAGCCATCAGTCAGACATCCATAGAGCTGCTGTGGAGGCGGGAGTGAACTGACCACCAGGGTGCAGCTCCTGCATTGAGCATCTGCCCCCCTGGTGGTCAGTGCGTGTCATAGCAACCGGTCGTTCCGCCTGTTCAATCAATTTGCATATTAGCCTTTTATTATATAAGATAGGATAATAGTGTAATACCTGTGTATGGTGCCAGGTGGGTAGTAGACTAATTAGGGGATCACTTCATAAGTTATATAAACATCTAATCATTATGCTCTACACCTGAAACTAATATAATATGGAATGTCAACTCTAATTGAAAAATAAAAAAAGGTTTAAACAAAATTCCAATTTTTGCATGGTAAGCAAAATAGCTAGTGGTGGATAATTTTCTGGGAGAAGAGTTGGATTGCATATAGCTATGATTCCATCACAGTGACATGAACAAATTGGCTATTTCAGGATGCACTGGGCCAGAGAAATGCTTGGGTTTCTTTATTAGTTTCCATGGCTGCATAACAAACCATCCCCAAGCTCCACAGCTTAAAACAACAATAATTACTTACTATCTTATGGTTTCTATGGATCAGGTACTCAGACAAGGCATAGTGAAATGGCTAGTGTCTGCTCCCTGATAGCTGGGGCCTCAGCTGGAAGACTTGAAAGCTTTTGTGGGGTCAGGCAGCTTACTCAGAGCTGGAGGGAGCCTTCTCCCTGCCATCCCCCACCACCAGTGTGGCCAGGTGAGGGCACAAGGGGCAGGGCTCTGTGGTGCTGCCCTCCTCTGGACTCCTCTGACTTTGTCTTGTGGCTGCAGTGCTTCAGAATAAGAGCCTGGTGGGTGAGAGTGCAGGGGAGCCTGAGCTGGGTCTGGCCCCTCTGCTGTATTAGGGGCCCTTCCAAGAATGGTGGAGGGCAGACACTGTGCAGGGCCTAATCTTCGGGCAGTCCATGTGGAATTCTCCTTTGTGCAACTATGTCAGCTAATAAAGCAATTAGGATTTTTTTTTCTTGGTGGCTGGACATTCTGTGCTGAAGTTTTCACATGAAAAATTTAATTTAGTAGGGCCAGGACCCCAGGTGTTTAAATCCTTGCTTCCAGAGACATCTCCCGCCCCCTCTTCCCCAGCTGTCCCTCAGGGAAACCCAAACCCTCACCTCTGTCTGAGACTTATTTTTCCAACTAATATTAACTATTTATTGTTAACTTGCAAAGCCCTGTGCAACATCTCACATGTTACCTCAGTTGTTTTTCATGGAGGCTCTATTAGTTGGCTATGGCATCCACATGTCAGAGAAGGCAAGAGTTTCAGAAAGAATAAGCCATTGGTCTATGATCACAACTGCAAGGGCCAAACTATCATTTGATCCTAATCTATCTCACAGATTTTTAAAAATAAGCAATATGAGTTAATAAACTCATAAGTAACATAATTACTTTGGAAACAAAACTCCCCAAAAGTTAAAATACAAATAGCCCAAAATACTTTAAAATAATACATTTGAAAATCATTTGTAGTTTTTTTTCCTCATAACATGAAGGGCAAGTCTGGGACAAGAGTGGATTCCCTGTTATTGTTATTATCACCCCATAATAATAACTTCTAGAAATTTTCTCATAACATAGTAGAAAATCTTGGAGAAAATCCTAGCTGAGGCCTTTACTGTGCAATAAAATGAAAAGATTTAGTAAACAAAAGCTCTTAAGAAAAGCATTCAAGAGGCCTGCAAGTTTAATAAAATACCAGAGTTCAATTAATTTTGTGGAATTGAACTAAATTGAATGGAACGGGAGCTGGCAGGACTCCTACTCAGCACACTTCGAGGCCGATGAAGTGGAGATGAATAGCAATCTCTGTTGGGGCAGGTAACTACAGACTTGCTGGGTCCGGCAGTATGCAGTATGCGTGTGCGCAGGCGCAGAATCACAGGGGGCGTGGCGCGGGGAGGGGCGTGCAGGGTCCGCCCCGCCCAGTTTCTGTTCTGGGCCCTGCCACTAGGGGCGGCCGCGAAGCTCCGCGGTCGCGGTTTCCAGTCGGGCCTATATTCCAGCTGGGCTCCTTTCCCGGCCAGGCCCCAGCATGGCTGCGCCCAGGGCTGCGGGGTGGGCAGACGCCGCGCTCTCGTTTTCCTGACAGCCTCTGGCTTCCGTGCTCGACTTCTCAGGCCACTCCAGCAAACATGTTTGCCAAGGCCTTTCGGGTCAGGTCCAACACGGCCATCAAGGGATCGGACAGGTGAGGGGGAGAAGGGGCCTGCTCCGCCCACGAGGGCACACAAGTACCTCTCAGCCCGGTTTGGTCCAGAGCCCTCTTTGGGTTGGGTCAGCCGGCCCGGGTAGGCCGCGGGGTACACCCGGGAAAGGGACTCCAGGGGGAAAGTGTGGGTTAGACACATTTTGACGGTGAAGATGGAGGCCTCATATATCTCCTAGGCTGTCTTTTTGGATATTCTAGTGAGTTTAAAAGAAAACATAATTCAGTCAGCGCTTATAAAATGCAGCCTACGGTGTGGAGGATGCAAAACTGAAGGAGTGCAGAGTCCCTGTCCTCCGAAGAGCTAGAGACCCCGGGCGGGCGCAGAGAGCTGCAGGTGCACAAGCAGAAGTGCCCGGTGCTTCTGGCCGGAGCGGCGGATGCAGGGGAAGGGGGAGGATCGCCCGGCGCGGACGGGAAGAACCAGATCTGTCCAGTGTCGCAGATGCAGATGGCACGCCGGCGCTTCCGGAGCCAGTGTTGTGTGGTTGCTATTCTTGGTGCCCTGGTGTAGTGATTCATCCTAAGCTGGCAGGTTCGCCCAGCGCATAGGAGCAGGGAGTGGGTCCCAGAGCTGGGCAGGGCGTCAGGAGGCAGGGCGGAGTGTCCAAGTTCAGGCTTACTTGGGATGCTCACTGGGTCTTGTTTTGTTTTGTTTTTTGTTTTCTTTCTTTGTAAAACGGAAAGATTTGCCCAGGAGCATGTGGAAATAGATGAGACATTGGTGTGAAACAGACCAGGATGTTTTGGAAGCGTGTGCGAGCATACAGCATTATAAATTACAGTCTTTCCTTGGCCCTCGTGATTTTATAGTACGTCCTCAGTATTTATTAAAATCCACCCGGACAGCGTTCATTCCAGGCATTGGTGTGCTTTCTGCAGGAGAAAGCTTCGAGCTGACGTGACAGCTGCGTTCCCCGCCCTGGGGACCGACCAGGCCTCCGAGCTGGTGCCTGGGAAGGAAGAGCTCAGCATCGTGAAGCTGTATGCTCACAGAGGGGATGCCGTGACTGTGTACGTGAGTGGTGGTAACCCCGTCCTATTTGAACTGGAGAAAAATCTGTACCCGACAGGTATGGCAGTCGGATGGGGATGGCCATCATTATAGCCCTTGCCTAGTATCTGTTTCTCCTTGTCTTCCAGTAACCTGTCTTTCTTAAACAAGTTGAAAATCTCCCAGTACCATCCCTAAAGATTTTTTTGGACCTAATATCCCTAGAATTGGGTCTTTCAAGAGCAGAAACTGCTATATGAGGGGAAAAGAAAAAAAAAAGAGTTAACACAGAAAAAGAGTAGTTGCCAAGGGAAATTCTGAGATAAAGTGTATAGTAGGTTACTTAGGGATGGAGCAGAGGTCTTGAAAACAGGTGAATCTCAGGGCATGAATGTTTCTTAAAGCTACCTCTAGCAGGATTTTTGTAAAGTACCGAAGAGATACTATTGTAGGAAAGAAGCTAGATTAATTTAAACTACATGCTGGCTGGCTTGGTGATGTACTTCAGGCGTGAACATACCTCACTGGGAGTCTTTCTTAGGCTCTGCCTGGCTCTCGGGATTCTGTGCTTCTCTCTTTGTCACAGGTCTCAGAGACTCTGTTCTTTTTTGTTTTCTTTTTTTTAAAATATATTTTTATTGATTTCAGAGAGGAAGGGAGAGAGAGAGAGAGAGAGAAACATCAATGATGAGAATCATTGATCGGCTGCCTCCTGCACACCCCCTACTGGGGATTGAGCCCACAACCCAGACATGTGCCCTTGACTGAATCAAACCCGAGCCCATCAGTCCACAAGCCAAACCAGCTAGGGCCTTTTTTGTTCTCCATAACTACTGACACCTACTTTGGCACTACTTTCTTCGTCAGAGCTTGGCTGAGACAGTGCAATGCAGTCTCCTTAGGCCACGCCTACCCGACCCCACTTAGCTGCTGTACAGCTGCAGGCCCTTTCTGATCTAGGGTTTTATGGCTAATCACTATGGAAACAGAATAAAAATAATAAACATGGGGAAGTTCAGCAATTCTTCAGCTGGTGCCCTGTTCTTACATTACTTGCTTCTGAGGGAATAAATGGAATCCTGTTGTGTCTGTGTCCCCACTTTTATCTACTGTGGTCATTTGCTGCTGCTGCAATCCAGGTGGAACAATAGGTGCCTCCAAACCTCAAGTGACATCCAGTTTCTTAAGTCTCTGCCTTCTTCAGGAATGAAATCTCTTTGGCAACTTTCTCTATAGCTTTTGCTTTATCTATATCCTAACTAAATCAACCTTAATGTTTGACTTTGCCAATTCCCCAGGGGATTGACTATGGCAGTTAAGTGTTTTCTGGGTCTGTTTTTGGACAGTGTACACCCTGTGGTCATATCCTGATCTTCTACCAGCATTCACAACATGGCCTCTGGTGCTCGAAAAACTAGTGGGGGGAGCAGGTAAGAGGATTTTCCTATGTTCTGGCTCTTGGCTGAAACCTACTTAGGAAGGGCAACTATTTTAAGAAATGTACCTGTTTCCTATATTCATGCATATGTTTGAAACGGATTTTATCCACCATGTGTATTGTGGCTCTCGCTTGGCTGCTTCCATGAGCCCTTTGGGCCTCTGACCCTTTTGTAAAGTTTAAATAAGGTAAGTGATGTGAAGGTACCTTGGGAACTGCCTATGCCATACTGTAAGTCAGTAGGCTGAATGTAGGAGACTAGGATAAGATAGACTCTGGAGCTGGAACCTCAGCTTGGTGCTTCGATATGACCACTAGCCCCTGGCCCCCAAAGGGAACAGGTCTGCTATTCAGGTTGCCATTTTTAATTTTCATTATGAATAATGTAGTTAATAATTACATTAATGTTTGTTGAGTGAATAAATAAATGATGAAGTTAAAATGTGGAATTAGATGGAGGCAAAACGTAGATTGTGATACTTTTGTTTGCTGCAGATTTGATGCTGCCGGGAATAGTGGTGCCCCCTGCTGGTCTGCCTCAGGTACAGAAGGGTGACCTCTGTGCCATTGTCTTGGTGGGAAACAGGTATTGTGCCAGCCAGCTGTGCCTTTGGGGAAAAAATTAGTTAAAATTGGGGAAGGGGTTGGGGAATGACAACTCTCAAAGCATATGGATAAAGGATTAAGAGAAAAAAACAGGTTCTTCTAGAAGACAGCGAATGGTAATGAGATATGTGAGATATCCACACATCTGGGGCCAGTGTATTTGCCACTGATGCTTCTGTTTTTTTTCCTAAATTATTTCATTTTATTTTTAAAAAATTTTAATATATATATATTTATTTCAGAGAGGAAGGGAGAGAGATAGAAACATCAGTGATGAGAGAGAATCATTTATTGGCTTCCTCCTGCATACTCCCTACTGGGGGGATCGAGCCCACAACTAGGGCATGTGCCCTTGGCTGGAATCGAACCTGGGACCCTTTAGTTCCAAGGCCAACGCTCTATCCACTGAGCCAAACCGGCTAGGGCGCCTAAATAATTTGAGATTTACAGAAGAGTTGCAAAGATAGTATAGGGTTCTGCTATACCCAGCTTCCTGTAATGATAACATTTTATATACCCACAGTATAGTTATCAAAACTAAGGAATTAACATTGGTACAATACCATTAACACAATTACAAACTTTATTCCAGTTTTCCCACTGATGTTTTTTTTTCCTCTTCAAGGATTCAGTCTAGAATAGCACAGTGCATTTCGTTGTCATGTCTTCTTAGCCTCCTGTCCGTGACATTTTCTTGGTCTTTCCTTATCTTTCATGAAGTTCATACTTTTCCCCCATCATCATCATCTTTTAATTATGTCAATAGCTTTGTTGAAATGTAGTTTACATATTATAAATTAACCTGTTTCAAATGTGCAATTCAGTGCTCTTTAGTATACTTACAGCATTGTTCAGCCATCCAAACCCTGCTTCTTTTTAAAAATAATATAGCAAGTAATGATAAGAACAATTCTGAAAAATCAAAAATCCCTGTATCTCATAATCCTTTTCTCTTAGGAGTAACCATCATCATGTTGATGCATATCTTTGCCAACCTTCTTCAATGCATATATACATGTGCATATAAAAATGTATGGTTTAGGGTATGAATGTTTAAAAATACAAACAGAATTATACTTTATTTATATTGTTTTCACTTAAGATAGTGTGGGCATTTCCCGTGTAAGCAAGCCCAGATATGCTGACTCCTCTTACCTACTCTGTGATGATGGGAGAGGTCCTCTCCTAATGGACATTCTGGTGTCTCCAATTTGTCTCTATCAAAAACAGTATCTTGCTGATGCCTCTAGGAATACCAGTGCCAGTATTTTTCTAAAGTAGCTACCATCGCCCTCCAAAAAAGCGGTATCAGTTTTCACTCCCATTATGGAGTCACTTTGCTTTGTGTCATCTTGAGTGAAAAATGACATCTCATTATTTTACTCCTCACTTCTCTGACAAGGACCAGGTCAGTGTTTAAAGATCTTATTTTGCTACTGATACTCTCCAGTTTGCCTTGAACCTCTTGGAGCCACGCACCTAGAAATGTGTCCTTCCCTGTTTACCTGTAGCAAAACTTGCATTTGAAAAGAAGGGCGGTGTCATTGTTTTTCTCCTCTGGTATTCTATAGGAGAAAGGGGACAACTCCATAAATGTGGATTTGGCCTGCTCAGTTTGGCCTTTAGAATGCATATGGGATGAAGCTTGGGGGTAGTTTGTGGCAGGTTAAAGGTACAAAGAAGTTAAAACTACAAGTTGTGTTTGAGACTGAAGTTCCTGAGTTACTGACCCAGGGGCTGGAAAGACCCCTCTTTTAGGAGCTGGGAAAGAAGCCAGATTCAGAGTGTCTGTAGCAATAACTGACCTATGGGCCCAGGAAGTAGAGCTGCTAAGTTAGCAAACATTTCTTCAAGTTCAGGTTTGGGAACTCGGCTCTTGAATCTTCTTGCTTGGGCCCAGTGACCTCACCCCACAGCTACCCAGCTGGTCACTGATCCTTACAAGCAGTGTGTGAGCAGTGCTTGCGTAACACTGGGATGACGGAGAGTTCCCATTTGGGCCCTGGAAGTTTTTGTAGTTGCTATAAATGTGGTGGTTTATGACATTCTGGACACACCCAGTTCTTAGATAGATAGTCACACAGAGCAAATCCCATTATAAAGAGTCAGAAGGAACCTCTTTAGTTGGTGCCACTATTTATCTCTTCTCCCTTCCTTATGATATCCTCCAGCCTAACCATGGCTTATGAATGGTCTCTTTTCTGAACTTCGGTATAGGATGGCTATGCTTTCTTTAAGGTAGGGAAGTAATTTATATTTTTGAAATTAAAGAAAGGGAACTTTAAATATCCTCTCATGGGCTTAATGGCCTGCCTGGGTTTAATTCATAATGGAAATAAAAAGTGTCAACATCAGCAGAGGAATTGCTTAAAAGAAGGGGAATATTTGGTCAAGGGATTTTTGAAAGTCATATTTCTAGGCGATCTGAAGAAAATTGAGATTTCTGTGATCCTAGTGGGTGCTTTAGATTTGCAACCGTGGTGCTTTTAGCACGTGTGTGGGAAGGTGTCCTGCTGTGCTCTCCTGGAAGACACTCCCTGATCCTTGTCTCTGGCCTTCTTCTCAGGGCCCCTGTGGCCATCGGAGTGGCTGCCATGTCCACATCTGAGATGCTGACTTCAGGCCTGAAGGGAAGGGGCTTCTCTGTGCTCCACACCTACGAGGACCACTTGTGGTGGGTCTGCTGTTTGTTCTGTTTTACAGGTAGCTGCATGGGTGGAGAGAGCATGGGGCCTGGATTCAGAAGTGAGGGTTTTGGTCCCTGCCATATCCTTAGGCAAGTTGCTGACCCCAGACATTAATTTCTTTGTTAAATGTGGAGAAATATATGTATACATATATTTTTTGTCTGTATGGAGAAGAAATTAGAGAGAACTCTGATTATTTCTAGGTGGATTATAGAATCCTAGGCTTTGAATAAGGCCTTAGGGATTGTCTGCTCCTCCCCTCAATGCAGTTACAATCTTTATTTTTATAGCTCTGGTCCATCTGGCCTTGTCTGCCATGCACATTTAGGCATCTTTTGGCCCTATGACAAGTGCTCAGAAATTCTCACTTCTGAATCCAAATCTAAGCAGAGCAGATCTTTAGGCACCAGGTGATGATGATGATGATGTTGTTCAGGTTCCACATTCCAGTCTCTCCAGGATGGAAGTTACGCTTTCTCATTGTAACAGTTGCTTTGTGGAGACATGTACGAGTCTATTTTCTGGTTATTTTTTTTGTCACTTTACCAAAACAGTAAATAGTGCTTTTCTCAAAAGCATTATGCCTGGTCTTTTGACCAAGTGTTGTGGCCTGCTGGTATAGATGCATCTTTACTTTCTTAGCCCTCCCTTAGAGTTGCTTATTTTACGAATATTCACTAAGCCCTGCTTTGCTGGGGTACAACTTCATCAGCTGTTTTGCAGACATTTGCGAGCTGCTTACTGATGTTCTTGCTGCACCTTGCAGTCAATGTCATGCTAAGTTGTTTTATCAGCAGCTCCTCAGCCCCCACTCCCTCCCCCCTTTTAAAAATATTTCTGATATTACCTGGTCAGAGAACCCTAACCATACACTCTGGCCTCACTAGTCACCAATAAGCCTTGCTGCAGCTGTTAGTGAAAACATAGTTTGATTTACATAATTTTGGGTAAGATCAAGCTTGGCGCTTCTACCTTTCTGTGCTCTGCTGTTTGGCATCACTCTTTTTTCTCTTTTCCTAAGGCTCCACTCCCCTGACTAGAGCGACACTGGATCTCTGGGAGGGGAAAGCTTAGTGGCATAACCCCTTTTTAATCTCTACTCTGCAAGCTCGATTGCATTCTGCTTTAACACAGAGCAGGTGGCTTTGCAGTCCTTGAGCATTGCAGGTGTTTGTACTTTGTTATATCCTGGGAGCCTTGGATCTTTGTATTTCACCAAACTAGTCCTACAGATGCATTGCAATCTTAATTTTGTTCTTTAATTCAAAATAGTTTTATTTTTAACTCATATAAATAGAATACTTTTGGGGGTTCTCTTTAATTATTTTTTCTTTAATTTTTTTCTGTCCCCAGATGTCTGTTAATAATATTATTCCTTTGAGATAGAGAGGAGTCAAGAATTATTCTCCCCATTTCAGAGATGAGGAAACTGAGGCATGTGACATTTCTGGTCACAGAACTGGAAATAGATTTGATATGAGACTCCAGGTTCTCTGTCCTCTCCTGGACACCCCACTCCAGCCTGTGGCTCTTACTCACTCTGGCTGACCCCTGACCCAGGGTGGAAAGTGCTGGGCTTGGTGTTTCTGACATGAGCTTTTTCCAGGCGATCTGGAGACAAGTCCTCTCCACCTTTCATTGCCCCACTGACCCTGGATCCCCCAGATGTCAGTGAAGAGAAGGGGTCTGTCCAGGCAGGCCCCGCCCTGCAGGATGACATGAGGCGCCTTACCCTGGAGGGGAAGGAGGAGGAGAATGGGGAAGATCAACAGATGTGTGGGGAGAAGACCCTACCAGAAGCCTCAGAAGACCCTGGCGTCGGGGGCCTGAACCCAGACCCCGCAGACAGCAAGACCCTTCAAGGTATAACGCTGGGAGTGGGAGGCCATCCTCTCAGTTTAGGAGCCTGAAGCGCTCCACTCTTCTGACTGGAAGGACACAGGACCTCTGGGAGGGGAGGCACGTCCTTCTGTTGAGGCGGTGCAGCAGCTTTTTGACATCTTGCCTGGAGTCTTCCCCACCAAGTCAGGCTTCCCCGGGGCCAGTCCACCCTGGCATTTGGACTGTTGCCAGCTCCAGAGCCCTGTAAGGTTTCTTTCTGTCAGAAGTGCTGGCTCCTGGCTGGGTGGGACTTTGTGCTTAACCCCTTCTCTGGGGTCAGCCTTCTTCAAAGGCTCTGTGCTCCAGCGAGTCTGGGAGCTTCAGAACCTGGGGATGGATTCCGTGGGTGAAGTGGGGTACTGTGGAGCTGGGCGGGGAGTGCCAGGCATCTGTATCCCCCAGGAAGGACAAGGTTCTGTCTTCTCCTTGCAGAGCAAATGGATGAACTGCTACAGCAATGCTTCTTGCATGCTTTGAAGTGCCGAATCAAAAAGACCGACTTCCCTCTACTCACTAGCACTTTCCTCGGTAGCCACGTGTTCTCCTGCTGGTATGGAAGGCATGTGTGGGTGGGCGGTGGCCAGGTATAGTCTCTGCCTTATTCCTTGGTGGTGGGACAGGACAGGGCTGATGGGGCATTGGTTGAAGGACACATGGTGGGAAGAGTGGAGTACAGGGTTGATCTGGTAATTAAAGTAGGTCCTAAGTTTTAAAACTTAAATTTTAGCCAGTGAAAGGATGCTGAGGAAATGAACAAGGACTTCAGGGCACTGCGCTCTGTGGTGCTCCTGGCAGCACGTCCTGTCCAGGAAGAGTGCCGAGCGGCCTCTGTCAGGAGGTTTCTTCTGGAACCCCCTCACTCTCCTGAGAAGTAGGTGGGCTGGGTTAGGTTGTATCAGGAGGAAGAATCAGTGTGATCCCCACCCCTCCTCCAAGCACCAGCCACCTGGAGAGGGAGTATCACTTGGGGACAGGACCTGAGCTTTGAAGACAGAGCCATCTGAGCTCAAATGGCAGCTCCACAGGGAGTGAGAGCAGGAGAGCTTGAACTCGGCTCTGGGCTTCTCTGAGCCCTCATTTCAAGCACAGCCTGCCCTGGCTGGTGTGGCTCAGTTGTTGGACATCATCCTGTGCACTGAAAGGTTGCTGGTTCGATTCTCAGTCAGGGCACATGCCCAGTTTGTGGGCTTGATCCCTACCTACTAGAAGGTGTGCTGGAGGCAACTGATCGATGTTCCACTCTCACATCGATGCTTCTCTCTCCCTTTCTCTCTAAAAATTAGTAAAAATAAATTCTTAAAAAAAAAGATGAAATAGCCTGACATTTAGTAAGCACTTAAACAACATGTCAGCAGGTTTGCTTATTGAGCTTTACCATCTTAAAAAAAAAGATGAAATAGCCTGACATTCAGTAAGCACTTAAACATGTCAGCAGGTTTGCTTATTGAGCTTTACCTTGAGACTGACCTCTCTTTTGTAAAGGCTTTCCTAGACAAGAGTGGGGTCTGGAGTGTGTGGCAGGCATTTGGTCATTGACCCTGACTTTGTTGGTGGCAGGTAACTGCAACCATTCCACTCTGGGTTGTGGCACAAAGGCCAAGGCCGTGGAGTCAGCAGATGGGTGGGCGTGGCCTGCAGCATCTAGTTTTCGGAGTCCTGCTCTCGGCCCACTGACCGCCACGAGCTCAGTGTTGGAAAGGCTCACCTTGAGGTGGAACTTCTGAGGCCTCAGAAAGTTGTCTAGTTTCAGAGGAACCTAAAGCTCTATCCAGTACAGTGGCTATTGAAGTTTAAATTAATTAACGTGAAGAGTTTAAAATTTAGTTCTTCAGACACATTAGTCACATTTCAAGTGCTGAATCGCCACGCTTGTAGAATAATAGTGAACATTCCATCTTCACGGAGGGGTCTGTCGGACAGTAAAGATCTAGAGTGGCCTGGAGCGTGTCCCACTGCGAGGCCACCGGGCAGAGCTCTGGCACTGCGGCCTCTTTCTGAACGTGGGGGAGGAGGGCTCAGGAAGACGCCTCCCTCAGTGCAGGCAGGTCCCACCACTCTGGCTGTTAGCGTAACTTGCCTTTTCCATCTGCCATCAGCCCTGAAGGACGGCAACTGGACATAAAGAAGTCGAGCTACAAAAAAGTAAGCAGGCCCTTCTCTGCACACCCACAGAGCTGTGTTGGGGCACACATGGCATGCTGGGTGGGCAGGGGAAGCCCGTTGTCCAGGGCTGAGGCTGGAATTAAGCTTTTAATTCCAGATATAAGGTGGGGGCGGGGAGAAAGCTCCCTGGGCTGAGGCAGTGGGTGGACCTACTCCCTTCTCTCCTCCTCACCCTTGGATATCTGGTCAGAGTTCGGAAAGGCTTCACCATTTAGTCTGTAGCAGCTTCTCCCCCCCTGAGCCTCTGGGTGGGGGCCTCCCAGTTCCTATTTTGATGAGAGCAGGGACTGTCCCGTGTTCTTCCCCAGGACCTGCCTAGCTCGGTGTCTGGCACATCCTAGGTGCTCAGTGTGTGCAGAAGTGACCAAGTCCCCTCCCACTGGCCCTCTCTCCCTTAGCTCTCTAAGTTCCTGCAGCAAATGCAGCAGGAGCAGATTATACAGGTCAAGGAGCTGAGCAAAGGGGTGGAGAGCATTGTGGCTGTGGACTGGAAACACCCCAGGTGAGTGCAGGGGGCCTGCTCACCGTAGCTCAGCTGGCCCTGGGGCACCGGGGCCATGGACTGGGACTTGCAGACACACTAGTATAAAATGTGTTTTTTCTTTCCTTCTGCTGGGTTTTAGGATCACATCTTTCGTCATACCTGAGCCCTCCCCGACCTCCCAGACTATCCAGGAGGGTAGCAGGGAACAGCCCTATCACCCTCCAGATATAAAACCCCTCTACTGTGTCCCAGCCAGCATGAGCCTGCTCTTCCAGGAGTCTGGCCACAAGTGAGTTTTTGGAGAGCAGCCCTTCTCTGCCTGCTTGGTGTTCTGGCCTGAAGCCCTCTCCGCCTGAGTAGTAATCTTCTGTGACTGGCAACACCTCCCTGCCCTGTCCTCCCTTTCCCCCAGGTCCAGCTCAAGCTTCCTTCCCAGAAAGTGTCTCTGGACTAAATGAATGAGAGAGTAGGTCTCTCCCTTTTCTACCTGTAATCACTCCTTACATGGCCCTACTGACTACCTCGGTCAGGACGAGGGAAGAAAAGAAGAGGTTGAAAAGCTGGGGAAAGCCGCTGCTGAGCAGGGAGTGAGTCCTGGTGTTTGCAGGTTGTGTCCTGGCACACCATGAATTAACCCCCCACTTCTCACCCAGGAAGGGGAGCATTCTCGAGGGCAGTGAGGTCCGGATGATCATCATTAACTACGCCAAGAAAAACGACCTGGTTGATGCCAACAACAAGAAGTGAGTGGATCT